TTAGTGCTGAGCATCTCATAGGGAGCTCCTGCAACAGGAAAAAGGCAAATGAAATTTTTCATAACTTGTCATCTTGCGACACCAGGAGCATCAATGAGCTTGTTTCAGGGGCAATTTTACATAAATTGCAACTTGTGCAGCCTATGATATATGACTATATACACTACTACAGTGTATACACAGCCAAACCGACATTGGCAAGCCAAGTGCTCCTAAATTCATGTGCACAAACACTGAATATATGAGACCCAGAGTATCAAAAGATCTATTTCTATCGGAGAGTGAAAAGTTACCCCTATGGTATTTAGTTGTTGCCCACAACTAGAGATACCCCTTTAGATATTTCAGGATTTCTAAAGTGTCATGGATACGAATTTATATTCAAAAAGGAAAGAAATCTTTTGGATAGAAAAGGAATAATAACATTTATGATTTTTGTAAGCGTACAAATACATTGTATGTGATGAAGCTAATTCTTATGTGGATGCCAATGTAAGGAATCAAATACAGGGATTTCATGTCCAGTGTTGTCTGTACTTCAAACAGGAATGGCAGTCCAGCAAGTGCAAAGGTGAACAAGGGCAAGAATTGTTTTGCGCTTGAACTTGTGCTAGTGTCAAAGTGGGAGTAATATTGTAATGGTCATATGAAAATGCATTAAATCACACTTATTAAATCACTTTTATAGTAGGGCAGGGAAAAGAATGCACATATGTGTATTTTCATATTTTATATTGATTTCAGTTATGTTTCAAGACATTATGTAAACATTTTAAGCATAACATTACAATTCTTTTAGGCGCCAATTTTGTATGTATAAACAAATCATCATTGAATAATTATCAGAATAAAATCATCTTCCAAATGGTGAGGGTTCTTGTCAGTGAATCTGAGAGCTTACAGTGCATGATTATTAAAACGCAAATTCATCAGTGTTCCCCCCCTTGGATGCAAAATCAAACATTCAAGAATGAAAGAGTGTTCCGAAACAATGCTCTTACAAATAAGTTTTGTTGGGATATACTTTTACATGTTAACGAAAAATCTAAAAACAAGGTTGAAAAGGACAAGAAAAATTTGTCCATCTTTAACGAAGTTTTAGCAAATAATATTTCACAATCCACCGCCTCGATCTCTTTATCTCTGAGAATAAGTAATCGCCATAGAGCACCAATGTAAACCAGAAAAGCAAATTTTCGAAAATGGAAGGAAACATCCGACTATGGCCTTACTTGTAAGAGTAGGAAATTTGCTTATTGATTTCATGCCGCTAAATAGTATCAAAATACTCGAACTTCCCCCCTTTGAATTAACCATTAAAAGTGAAAATACGGAGTGACCGAAAGAGAAGTTTAACCTGTTTAGTCGCTTGTGTGGGATATATCACTGGATCTCGCTGTACGGTCAGGGTCAAATACTACAAAAATACCAGGGTCACATAAATTACGTTGAATTCAGGCTGCTATAATTTTAACACATAACATTCGATGATGCTGCTCCACATTTCACAAAGTAAATCAAGGGGTATATCTTACCTAAATGTTAGGCAGCTCTGCAGATCGTGGACGATAACCCAGAAATCCGTGACCGCTTGAATGTCAACAAATCAACATATCACAACAAACGGCCTCGTGAACGCTTTATCTGCTTCATCAGAGGAGCCAAATGGACGAAAATTAAGAACCTAAATGGTCCTTCTCCCATACATGACACTTCAACATGGCTTAGCCAAAGTATCCAATCTATAAGACATGTCTGTTGACGATTGGGTATGCAAAAAAATCTCCCTTGAAAGTGCTTCAGAACGGCTTTCGGCCATTACGATTTCGCGTCAACAAGTGCTTCCCAGCAAGTTTGACGCATGCGCAAACGTTACCACTTGCTGTTCTAAATAACAATTAGTCAACGAAGTGGAGGTGACTAGTATTGGATATTTACCGAGGCCGCGAAGCGGCGAGGTAAATAACCACTACTAGCCACCGACATTGAGGTGAATAATTGTTTTAGTATATACTAAAACAGTGAGATAATTGAGCACAAAAATGATGATTTTTAACTCATTTACTGTTGCCAACGATTACAATTTTGGCGCGTGATGACCGAACGGCCGCGGTCGTCGCTTTTTCTTAGCGACAAATAAAACTTTTGAAGGCGTTTGTTTACCTCTTGCGGGAAGTTCCTTCAAAAGGAGTTGTGAATTCTGTTTGTATTTAAAATAATTCTGTAAAAAAAATAACTAAATTTAGTTTTAAGCTTATTTATGAACACTAGTCAACTAAATAAAGTAACGCAAGCTTAATTTGCATTTGTAAACAAAAAACTTTTTCACCGGTTTTATCGATAGCTATTCAAGTCAAAAAGACAAAGCTTTACCTGTTAAAACTTCCAAACCGAACTTCGTTACCTTCTTTATGTATTTATGTAATAGCTTGTTGATTAGTTGTGAAATTTCTTAGTTTGTTACGGCAGCAAACCGGGAAAGCATTTTGCTCGCAACCTACGCGAGTTTGGCGTCGCTCGCTCGGAAGAACTGGAGGTGAATCGGTGAATAGTGCAGGATATTCACTGATTGAGTAGCCAATCAGAGTGCGCGAAAAACACTATCCACTGTTTTAGTATATACTAAATGAAATTACCCCCTTTTCTGTTCGGATTTTCTAGCTGAAAGTCTAGTGATCCGAAAATTTCAGCCAGAAAAAAGGCTCCCGAAAGTTCTAGGTGACCTTTTAAGGGTAAAAATCCGTTAAAATGGGCAATTATACCATTTTTTAGATCTTCCAAAATCTAAGGAGAGGCAGGCAAGCAAGAAATTTTACAACAAATTTTCATAAAATTCTTGATCTCAAATCGTCTTCCGAACAGATATTTTCCGAAAATTGACGTTGGGTGCCCCTGGACAATGCCAGCTGAAATGATAAAAGAAGCTCACTCTTGTTCTTGACCTCAGTTTTGAAGCATCAGCTCAAATTCGCTTACATGATATGTTTTTGGCAGCTTGGTAACGCAAACTAAAATTCTTTTCCCTGTGGTGTATTCGCTTGTGTGCAAGCAATGGCAACATTTTCTTAGGGCCCATAGGTTTAGGCTTAGGTTAGGATAACAAGACCGGGCGAATCAGCTTGCGACGAATGCAGTTTCCAACGCGAAGATCTTAGCTGAGACACTTTCTTCTTTGTAATTCCTACTCAATTTTAACTGAATACAGAATTACACTTTTGGCTAAAATATTGAGTCATATCTCTGTAGTTACTCTGTCTCACTCTGGCGAGAAAATAGCAGTGAGAAGAGTTACGATATTACAGTGAGAGCAAGGGGTATAGAGGGTGGAGTAGGTTTTAATCTTTCAAAATGACAATACAGGTATAGTAGCAAAGCCCAACGGGTTTGGGGACTCAAGATCTATAGAATGAGGTGTAATTCCTAGATCCCCGCTGACTCGAAATGCGCAACAGATTTATGATACGTGGCAAATTATCAAAATTAATAGTAAACAATTAAAAGGATTATAACAATGGGCAAATTTGACCATCTGTGAAGGAAGGTTTTTCCACTTTCGAACGACTTTAAGGGCTAAACTGGAACTCGAGGTTTGAACGCTGGAAATCGTCTTCTAAACTCGGGAAACTAACTCACGCAACTCGCTCGCGGGTAAGAGCCGTCACAACTTTTAGGACCGGAATTAAACCACTAACTGGAATGCAGCAGAGAATAAGGCAAACCTGACTTAGTTCCAACAGCGTTTATTCTTGTACACGTACTCGAAGCAATCGGTGTAGTTGACAATGTAATCGGTGTAATCGATGTAATCGAAAAACACTACAAACTAACTTACTTATATATCATCACTACAAGGATTCAACACAAAAGAGTACAATAGATATACAAACAGAACTCGTTTGAAGTTAAGCGAATATTATTGTGGCGGATTCTATTTTAGGAGTAAAAATTACTAGAACAATAAACTAACAAAGTTTGCCAAGTCAGCAAGACCGCATTAGCACTTAGTTTCGCTATATGAAGTAGAATTGCGAGCTCAGCTAGCGGCTTTCTGGGACGTAGCAGGACTGTCTAATTGCCCAGTTTTTCACCGACAACAAAAGCAGACATTTTCCGAATTTGCAGGTCAGCAAAACTTTTGAAATTCTAAATTTAGACGAGGCGACTATTTACGGAAGTAGATTAAGAACCATTATATTTGCTGGGAATCTACGAGATCGGTCAAATTAGTTCACTTAAAAACGAGCTATATTTGCTTAACAAGGTGTTACAGTGACTGATGCCGCTCTGTTGTAGAATAAAGCTAATTAAAAAATAAAGTGGAGCAACTACTATTCAGAAAACCAATATTAATATTTTTAGAAATCATTACTGAAGTTAAACTAATACAATTAAAAAATCTTATGAACGAAACGGAAACCTATTAAGTGTGTTCTGTTTGTACTATGAATATAGGCCGCTGTTGCAGGGGTTGGCTTTTGTGTAGGATTATTAAACAAAGCACAAAAAAGCATAAAACAAAGCACTCCGAAAATAGCACGAGCCAACACGGCTGAATGCGGCTAACTGTAAACACAGTAAAATGTCTTATAAAAATCTTATTGCTAAAGCGAAAAGAGAAAGGCTATGAAACTTAAGCGAAAATTCAAAAAGCAAAAACTTTAAAGTGTTGTTCACTCGCTGCCAGCTTAACGCTTCTTATTTAAACACTCGAATAGCTAATAAACGCGTCTTGACTTCAAAATGAAACACTTCGAGTAACTCCTTCCTATCACATCTACTATATATGTTAAAACCATAATCACTTTTGTCATATCGTTATTTTCGTAACGGTCGAAATTTTTTGTTAGTAACAAAAACAACTCAACTGTCTCTAAAGTAGCTATAAAATTTGAATTAATAATTTCTCTTTTTCCGGCTCTATACATATTCTTTTATAGTCTCTTCAGATTGACTGCTTATTATATTGTCATAAAACTACTAAATATCCTAAATAAATGCAGTCAGACTGTTTCCGAAGTGGGTAGTAGGGCACCAGTTGATGTCCTTCCTTGGCCTGTGTCCTCTGAATAACTGCCATACGGGCGGCTGGTCAATAATGGAGTAGTGTCCGTGGATAAGGTAATTTCCACCCTCGATCCATTATTATTGTTACTGTTAGCATTTTGGTTGGCATTATTGGAAAGATATTCATTTACAAAAGATGCAACTTTCTTGTCAAAATCTTCATCGTCTGCTTTTTTCACCAGAGGATCTTTACCGAAGAACATTTCAACAATCTGAGGAAGCAAAATTGCGAGCAGGGTTCCTAGAGCTTTTGTTAGGTCATCAGCTCTGGGTGCTTCCGTAACGACAACAAAAACTGCGAACATGACGATAAGGATGGCAAAAAAATAGGCGATCACTTTACCTCTGCTGTTTTTCAACGGCATCAATTTTTCGCAGGCCTCATCATAGAGGTCTTTTGGAATCATCCTGATAAAGTCCTTGGAGTCTCCTTGTTTCTTCCCATAGTGTTCAGACAGTTTAAATGTGAGCTTGTTGTAGTATCTAGGATATGGGATGTAAACCTTCCAAAGGTAAAAAACAGCAACGGCTACCAAGGAAGCAATTGGAAGGTAGTTTGGCAAACCCCGCAAGCATCCTCTAAAAATTGTCAATGAATCGTTTGCTATTTCGACAACAACGAAAAAGGACCCATAGAGAAGGAGAGTCGTTTCAAAAAAACCGGAAAGTAAAAGGCGCTTATTTAGACGACTGGGATTTTGGTACATGAGCATATCGTAAAAGGTCGACGTAGGAGAGGAGTAAAGCAAAACAGCCACAACATATACAAGGTATACCGTGATCCAAACCGGAAATAGCAAAAACGAAAAGACAAGTGACGACGGACAACAGCGATCTAAAACTTCATTACATTTACGAAACGTTTGAGTGAAACATCTCTTGACGATAGATGGTAGCAAGAGCAGATGCATCTCCATTTCTTTTCGGCCGTAATATTCATGGTTCTTTAGATAGTGCAAAATCTCTTGTTTGTCTCCAAAAACACTGCAGATAATACATGGCTGACTAGGGTGCAATCTACGACATCGAAACCTCACGACAGCCCTTACTGAAAGTAAATAAAGGGAAGCAACTAATAAGTATAAGCTTGGATGAAGGGAATCGAACTCATCTTGCAAATTACGCGGGGCGAGAAGAGAGTCAAGAAACATATCTTTGAGAAACGAAAATAGAACAGCAATTAGGAAAAAGCAGGAGGCATAAAACAATTTCTTGTACTTCTGTCTGTTCTGTTTGTTGGGATCATCACCAACATCATCTGAAAAGAACTCATTTGCTATCCGGCTGCGAATGCTTTCAGGGCTGGTTCCATGAAGAACAATCATGATTTTTCCATTTTCTCTTTTTTTAGTGGGAATGAACACAAAGCTTACAAGAGGGAAGCAGCATAATGATACAAAAACGACAACCATAACTAAAACGTCAAATGCTCGTTTTTGCCAAGTAATAGGATTCTTATGAGCTGTACTGGAGACAGTTATATTTACGCAAACGTAAAAGCCTTTCTTAGCTGAGAACTTGTAACAAAAGGCTGTCTCTGAGTGTGAAAGTTTTACAAATTTTGCAACTTCCTCCAAGAGCACCATTGCAATCACATCATTCAAGTAGGCCTTTGTATCAGTTGAGTCAGTTGCTGGTTTAAGGGAACAAGACACTGCCACCTCTATTTGTCCCTCTTGCAATTTTCGAAACCAGTAGTTACTCTTGTTGACAGAATGCTGTGACATGTTTTGTCCGCCGTGACTTGGAATGTCTCCCGTGAGCCAAATCCAAAGTTCAGCTAGTGAAGAATTATGTAGATCTGTTTGGTTTACGCATTTTTCGTTCACTTGTTGGTCGTGCTTCAGCTGCAAGCTTATGAGTCTGAATTCAGAAATAAGTACTTTCATTTCTAATCCAAACGTCGAATCGACAACCTTGCAATCCCACGCACAATTCGTTCCTGCATTGCTCGCTACGTTCGCTTGTGATCCTGGTAAAGCATCGGAATCGGCGACTGCGATGGAAAGAACTACTGCAGCTAAGCAGGCAGTAAAACGTGGGGGAAAGGCGAATGACATCTTTTTGTTGTATACAGTTTAAGGTTGACTGTGTTTCCAGTTTTATAGCAAAATGCAGAGGTCGAAAGCGAGGCTTTTATCGACAGAAACTGAAAGGTCACGAACTTGTTTTATGAAATCTTAGCACTATTTAGCATTTCATGTAATATATTCATATAACCGGAAGAGTCTGTTTTGATAGACAAGACTAACCACCTAATGCAATCAAAGGCTCCTAGGAGCGAGCTCATGGATGAATTGAATTAGTGTAGAAAAGACAGTTCAATAATCAAAGAAAAACATATACAGTCAACTCTCTCCAAGACGGACACCTTTTGGACCGGTACTAAGTGTCCACCTTAGAGAGATGTCCGTCTTATAAACAGTCAAATAAAGGGAATAAACAAAGGCAGGGACCAACTCTAGGTGTCCGTTTTACAGAGGTGTCCGTCTTATAGAGGTGTCCGTTAAGAGAGAGTCGACTGTAAATCTTTTTGGACGGTTCATTGGGTATACAGCGTGACTCGAAGTATCCGATTGCACGTGCACATGAATATTCTAGAAACTCGTCGGATGACTTGTTTCTATTTATAACGAAAAGATCACTTTAAGCAAGTATTAACGCTTGTTAGTTGTAAAATAATTTGCTTTCTCATGTGACTATCAAACACTTTCCGAACGATAGTGCACTTTCTTGTAAAATAGCTAAGTTTTACATAGGCCCGAGTTGTATTTAACCTTGGTTTTAAACAATTATTTTAATGGACCTCGAAGGTTTCCAATAAGTGCGATGCTTTTAAATAAATGTTTCCATATGCTGTTCACAAAGAGTACGTTTTTGTAGAACGAGCTATTAATTACCAAAAACAGACGTTTATGGCTAAATTTAACTGCTTTAGAACGCGCTTTTGCTAAACACTAGGTAACAATTATTTTAATCAAACCATGGGGGGGGGGGAGGTAATCCCAAACATTACCTATACGGGTATGTGCCGCCCAACGGGGTCGTGATTTTGAAGCTCCTGATTTAGAATGGGGTATCCATTTCAGAGGCGTTTTCTAGAACGGGGTATAATATTTCGAACGCACGAAAGCTCCAGT